TTTGTTACTACATATTTACATACATTTTAGTAATTGTACTTGGTTTACACATGTGTCCTGTCTGTTAGATGAATTTTATCTTTGTTTTCAACTAAACTATCTTATGGAGATTTCTGAGTTGTCAAAGATCAATGGATTGTTCACCCAAGGTGCTTGATGTTATTCATGAGCTATCATGTTTTGATTATTCCGTTGTTTTAGTCCTTTTTGTGCTGCAACAACGAAATATTTGGGAGCAAATGAGCAAAGACTTCTTCTTCACTTGGTGACCAATGACCATAATTAGCTATTATCATCTTCCACACAGTAAAGATGCAAGGTATGAGATCTTGAGTATTGTTCACTGCTACTGTAATTTTATTTTATTTTGGTGTTTGGTATGTTATTTTACTTTTTCTTCAAATTGAAAAATTGTAAGATTGCAAGAATAGTCTATAGTACAGTGATTTTCGGCGTTTTAAAAATAATAATCGAAATTGACTCACTTTGTCCTCTGAAATTATTAGTCCTTTTTCTTATTTCATTTAGACTTAGAAGAAAATACATTGGGGAGACTAATGGGTACATTGATATTAAAATATTAGTGAAGTTATGAATTGTTACTCTTTCATGGTATGCATTTTTCTTCTTTCCAATTTTTCTTTGAAATTAGAATTTTTTATAGTATAAAATAATATCTGTTTTTTATTATTTTGGAAGTGGTCTTTAAGAATCTCCTGTGCCATTGAACTTTGTTAAGGTTCCTATAACCGAATTTCTTTGTGATAGAAACTGTTACCTATTGAATATCCAGCGAGGTGCAAATGTAGCACGTACCTAAGAGAGCATCAATGAAATCCTCACTAAAAATTCATCGTTATGTTACTATTTTATCGCTTGCCGTCAATGTACGACAATTATCACATTTAATTTAGATATAAAAATGGCTATGCTCTTAAACAGAAGTGGAGTTAGTAATTTGTTATAGTTGACGAAATCTGATGAGAAAACATTCTTCCATGTTCAACATTTTGGTATTTCAGATTTGGATGATAACTACTCGACTAAAATTAAGTAAATTTATTCATTAGTGCTGAGTTTACATCTTCTTTTCTCTGTTTTATGATCAATCCAGATGGAAGAGTTAACAATGTTGATTCCTGTGACTTAAGATAGTTCATGCATTGTTATATTTTATTTTTTGTTTAATTAGTTATTGAATACCAAATATCATTCTATGAAATAATGAAGGCCAAAATGTGGTTTAATACATATTTTAATTTATATTATATCTCAATATGTTTTTTTATTGAATTTCATAAGCGTGACATTCTAAAAATGCCAAATAATTCAGTGGTAGGTATAGTGACTTAGTTGAAAAGGTTATTTTTCAAAACACTACACAGCTGGTTGACCTTGGATGAGAAACTCCTTCATTACATGTATGTATGTATGTATGTACGTACGTATGTGTATAATTATCTCAATTTAACAAATTGGGGAGCTTGTGGTTATTTAGTGTATTCACAACTATGTTCCTCATTCCTTGCTTCATTAAGTTTTTCATCAGTGGTCCACCCTTTTTGGACTAAGGAGAAGATCATAGACTCACATACATTAAGAAGATTTTTATCGAGGAGTGGAGGAAGGTCTTAGGAAAGAAATATGTTCTTGAATCATACAAATATATCACAACAGAAATCTCCAAACCTAGAACCAAAATAAAAATGAAAGTATATTATTGCTTCTTAGACGGACTGTAAGAGGGGTAGATTACCACTGATACTTTAGCTAGAGAAAAGATTTCGAAAGTGGCAATCTGAAAAATGATATGACAATTTCGGAAAGCATATAGTAGTGATACACATGCACAAAAATAGCTCTGCTCTTCTCTGTTTCATAATTGTGCTAGAACACCATCAAAGTTCAATCCCTATCGAGTCATTGAGTTTTTCATTCGATCACTCGAGGTGAAGTCAACGCAGCAAGTTCTCTCGCTCCAAAATCAGTGAAGACATTGCAAGGAAAACTACAAAGGACTTGAAGGGTCTCCGAGTCACCATCCAAAAATCATCTATTTTTGGTATTATAAAAAGATTGATTGTCTTTATATGTCGTGGTTAAATTTTGAATTTCTATGAAAATAGTGCCTTCGATTCTATATTTCTTAGAGGTTAGTGGTTTAGACATCTTTATCTATAAGGATTTGAGCCTTTTTTTTTTTTTTTAAATGACTTTCTTTTTAAAAAAAATGAAGTTTGACATTTATATTTTTTTTATATGTATTGATGAATGAGACATGTATTTTTTGGTCTCTAAGTATTTACTTATTGAAGATGCTTCGCATGAAATCTGTGAAGCAAATATATAATGGATCTTCACATGAATTCAAAGTTCATGTGATGGTGGATACACAAAAGTTGAGTTTTCTGGGTTTATGTTCTTGTGTACCTTTTGATGAAACTCTTTGTTCATGTCCAAGTGAGTATAATATATCATTTCCCAAATTATATTTAACTTCCCACATTATATTTAACTTACTTCAAGTATGGTGTCTCAATTATAGATTTATTGATGGGCTTACTGTGAAATATGTGACTTGATGATACTGCAGATATATAGATGCGAGAAACACATGGCTAGGTGTTATGGGGTGGAGCTTTGTTGATTCAAGCTAAACTAATAGAAAGAAGAAGGAAAAGGGGATCCTACAGGAACGACCATGGTATCACAAAGTTAGTAAGGTCCTTTGCTGCTACTTACTTCAAAACGAGTCATATATTTTTATTTGCTAACGGTTTGAGCTACTATTATATTTTTGCAATAACATTATTTTTCCCTTTTTGTTCTATTGAATTTTATATTTGTCCTTTATCAGAAATTATCTGGTCAATTTTTCTATTAACAAAACTAATGATTAAAAAGTCTTTTACTTAATAGAAATGTTAATAAATCAGTGATATGCTTTATATCTTTTTACCGTTAATTTTCATTGTGTTGCATTTATGCTCAGGTAAAAGTATCTGTTAGTTTTCAGATATTCTTGTCGTAAAATCTTTTCCTACTTTAAATGTGTGAGATTTTAAAACTAATTTATCTTAAACTTTCAAATTGTGTTCTTTGATCGCAATGTTACATCTTCCAAATTCTACTGTAGTTTAGAATAATGGTTAAAGAATCTTTTTATTTTTCCTAAAGTATCATCATTCAAGTAAATGTTTTGTGGTTCTTGCTTCAGCAATTCCTCTTTGTTCCTTCAAAAAGGAGGATGACAGGAAGGATTGTGGAGGTTCCTCTTTGTAGTGAAATTCTAAGCTCTATTGCAGTTTGGATGCCTCCTTTTGACAAATCTATAATCTTAATTTCCGTTAAGGTATGTAAAATCATATCGTAAATTGGCACATCTTTGATGAAATAAAAAATAACAAAGTAACTCTATCAACAATTTGCTTGTATAACGGCTAAGTCCAGAATTAACTTATCGACACTCTTTGTATGACCTTGCAGATTAAGCTTCTATATTTGTGGCAAGTATCCATGTTTGAAGACGTTGATGATTTGAGATAATTTGATCACATTTGTAACCTAGTGATATAAATGGTACGCGCCTCAACGAGCTTCTCTTTTCTATCTTTATACATATTTACGCTAGACTATACAAAACTCCATGGACGTAAATAATGGTTGCATTGGTATTAATCTACAAAGTGTAGTCATCTATGAAGCGAGTACTTAAATATCGATGGAAAACAAAAAAAACATTTCTTTTTTCTCTACTTGCTTTCATATGAGAAAATAAAGAGCAAAGATTAAGATATAGTAGGTTGAATAACACAGTTTCTATTCAGATAATTTTGTTGAGTCCTCACATATCTACTGTGGGAGTTTTTATGTTATAGTTATGTTTATGTCCTTATTGGACAATTGTATGTTTGTACCTTATGATTTCATTGTTTAGCGTATTGCTGTGTACCAATTAACTTTTTCTCTTTCCGGAATACAATCTCTTATTTCTGGTATTCTATGCGGGTTATGATTCACCAAACACGAAGGTACTCACTGCTTCTCAAGCTTATTTTAGTGTTGTTCAAGTACCTTCAAAATTAATCGCTCTTTCCTCTTCACAATAGCGTGCATGTATATTGTTGTACCATATATATGCTTTTAGAATATTATTTCTTAATTATTAGACATAGCAACATTTTGTATTACTAGAATCCTTTCTAAAAAAGGTCTTGACTTATAGGTTTCAAGTGATTTACTGATACATTATTTGCGTACATTTTGGTATTTCTAGGGAAGAAGTCAGGGTGACAGTTCTTTTGTTTGACCAACTGCTAAGTGCTTATCAGTTTTATTTTTTTGTTATGAGATCTTGAATATTCAGTATATTCCGAAAAACCTATATCAATCTCAATACAATTATAAGCCAATATTTTGGAGCATTGGTCATAACCTTTAAGTTCTTGAAATTCTTTTTTTTGTCATTCTATGTAGCAATCAGTTTTTTATGTCCATTCATCTGTGTTATTGCCTATATACGGGGCTATTGGTGCGAGTTATTTGTCGTTCAATTCATGCCAAGAGAATGTGATTACTTTGTTGAAATGTTTTAGTGGTGTTTTTAGATATATTTTTTTCACCTACTGGTGTTTTTAGATTAATCCATTACTCAGGCAAAAGTGAGATTAATTTGCATAGAGTTGAGTGATGTCAAGTTCTCCAAGGACCTGCTTTACTAGGGGATGCAAGTTCATAAAGGAATTGAAGAGGATGAGGAAGATGACAATGGCAGCAGATTTTGGGAGAGCTCCTTGTGTTAAATATAGTGTTCAAGGAGATGAGATGTATTAAGATTTTCTTGGCTTGACTAAAGTATTGGGAAATAACCGATTATGTATTTAATTCTGTATCTATATGATTATATGCTCTGTAGAGCTTTATAAATTTTAATTCAAGTGCTAAAAACATGAAATACCTTCCAAACATGTTTCGTAAAACATGTAAGCACGGGCCATTATCCATCTAGTATATGATTAGAAGACGAAATTAAGCAGATAAAATAATGAACAAGAATCTCAAACTAGACCAAAGTAGTAGTAAGATTTATAAGCAGTGGATAACTGGACGTCTGAACCTACCAAGCTAAGGAAACTGCGCTAAAAAGACAAAAATAATAAACTGAAACATGCAACTCTATTATTTATTAAAAAAATAATTTATTTTGTAATATCAACTTTTTTTAAAGAGTATTTGTTTCATTAATTAAGTTTGCTCGTAGAAATTTGTTAATGAGTTTTCTTTTATTCTATTTATTTATGGAGTTCATGTTTATATATATATTGAAAATTATAAAAGTATACTACTTAAGACTTTAATTAACAATATATACACATACTTATATTTAATTACAAATGAAGTTTCTAAATTACAGACATAACATATTTAATTAATTTTCGTTTTTAATTATTTATTTATTTTTTATTTTAGTATATCATTTTTTGGGGATTCTGTGCCTATTTTTGAGGGATGATTATCATGTATTAAATTTATCTCACCAATTAATGGTTATTACTAAGTTTTTCAAATATTTTTTTATCTTTCCACCTCTTCCATTTTCCAAGAAATTTTTACTTCCTATGCAGTTGTATTTTCTTGAAAAATTAAAAACTTATCTCTTTCGTGTTCTTCTTTGTTCTTCTTTGTTCTTCTTCTCTCTCTGAATTATGTTCATCTGAATTTTACCATTGGTATCTTTTACCTTTAAAATTTTCAAATGTGAAAGTTGCTCAATAGATGTTGGAACAGTGCTAGAGATCATATAGACTAAGAACCAAAAGGTTTACGTAAGAAAGATCAAGATACTTCAAAGAATACAAATTGTAAATAAATTAAATTTTTTTATCCAATTTCTTTCAACAATATCGTAAGGATAGGAATACACATGGAAGTTTAGATTCCGCAATTTTGATAGTATCATAAGGATAGGATTACACACCAACCTTACAACGATAATTACACCAATATCATATTATAGATAATAACTTTTGAATACTACACCAATATTATAGAAATCATAGTTTTCTATTATTAAAATTTACAATTATTTCATAACCATTTACGTAAATAGATTTTTGCATAAAAAGACAAGTTAATATCAAAAACTTGCAAACATGAATGTTTATATCATTCAATACACCAATAATACGATTCATCCTACCAACATAAAATTAAAAGTTTCAACTACATAATGGTTTAAGTAAAATAAAATAAAAACAACACACTACTATTAAGCTTGATCCGCAAATTTGGGGCAAATTTTCTTGTTATGCACGGGTGTACAACATTGTCACGACCCAGACCGTCGTGATTGACACCCACACTAACCCTCCGGTTGGAGAACCATTACTACAGTCTAACTAAACAATTTAAAGTTACGGAAGCAGGTTTAAATAACTAAATACTGAAGTTCCCATAAACTTCCAAAAGATCTAACAACGAATTTGCGGAATTTAAATGCCAACGTACCAAAACTCTAACAACGAACCATAGTCTAAAGAAATGGGTACAACCCAAACTAAACAAGAGAAGTCTAAAGAACTAGTCTAAGTCCGAAAAGATGGACTAAAGAAAAAAAAAAGAACTCAAGGCAGCCCGGAAGAACTGGCTCACCCTTGAATTCGATCGGCGATTACTGATCTGCTAGACGAGGTCTGTCAATAGACGCCTGAAGATGCCTTATACTCAACAAAAGAAAGAGCAAGTGCAGTATCAGTACACAACCATAGTGTACTGGTAGGATCACGCTACTATCCCACTAAGTGCAACATAAGCAACTAAATACAACATTATAAACATGTAAATACCGAACATGTACAATATCGATTATCACATTCTCAACAATATACATTTACAATAGGTCATAGGTCCTCTCATGGAACCCAAACTCAAACAGTTAGTGTACCGGTACGTGGTACCCGATCCAATGTTTATGCCACAACGTGGCAACCATCCCATAATTATTCCAGAATGTGTCAACCGATCCAAGTTAGTGTGTCGGAACGCAACACCCCGATCCATTCAACAAGACACAATGACAATCACAAGTACATTCTCATAATCATATAATCCAGTCATGATTCATGGCATTCATCATTCATCTATCCTCATTTTCAATTGGAGTGTTCATTAATGCAACATTCACATACATACATGTATTATAATGAAGCAAGAACAAGCATACATCACACAACATGAAATCACAACCATCACATACCTCGAAACAAGCTTGAATCCCCTAAGAAACTTTGATTCTTCCCTTTTCGGATTCGTTTCGCTTGTTCTTGGTCTACAGACAATTAATATAACACGGGAATCAATAAACAATAACTAATTACCCGAATTACCCACAATTTTATCAACTCTATATCAAACCCATGATCCCCATACCCAGATTAGGGCTTTTACCACCATAATTTTCAGATCAAAACCCTCCCCCATGGATAATTACCCATTAGATTACGTTCTCCGAATTGAAAAACAGATTCGGGGAGTCAAAACCTTACTTTTAGCCTTAAGAATGGTGGAAAACTGTCAAGAAGACTCCTGGGTTCATTCCTTAGCTCTCTAGTTCGAAAATTGCATAATAAAATGTTTTTTGGGTTTATTTCCGACTTTAAGTCGCGTCTGCCCCGCCACAGCGGTACTCACCCCGCTACAGCGTCCCCACCCTGGCGGCACAAATTCCCTCTATAGCGGCTTGCACGGAACAATGAGCAAATTTAATAATTTCAATTCCCCCATTTCACAACACACCTTCAATCAATGACACTCAGAAACTACCCGTTCACGCTAAGATCAGTTTCGAAAGTTCTACTGGCCCGAATTCAATTCCGTAAAGTCGTACGGGTTCCTTAACGTCTTAGCTACCTACTCATGTGATAAAAATTATAATTAGATCACCCAATTGTTACCAAATTTCCCTAGACCTTACTGACTCCGATTTCATCCAAATCTAGACTAGGTTGGGAAATTCCAAGTTACTACGAAAAAGTTTTTTGACCCAAATTTTTTCCCCATTGGCTTTTCTATAACGATGGGAACATGTCGTTACAATAGATACCAATTTACCCATCACTCGTCCCCGAGTGACTAACTTAGGAAAAACAGGCTAAAGAATTAATGAAGTAGTACCTGAATCGACGAACAACTGGGGATACTTGTCTCGCATGTCCTTCTCAATTTCCCAAATAACTTCCTCAACTGGATGATGTTTCCATTGGACTTTCACGGACTTAATCTCTTTGGTCCTCAACTTCCGGACAGCACGATCAAGAATTGCAATCGGTTCCTCCTCATATTGAAGGTCTTTGTCTAACACCAGTGAGTCCCATTTTATGATGTAATCCCCTGTCACCATGATATCTATTCAACATGGACACATGAAATACCGGATGAACTCCCGATAGGTTAGAAGGTAAAGCCAACCTATAAGCCACTGGCCCTACACATCAAGAACCTCAAAGGGACCAATGTAACGAGGACTAAGCTTGCCCTTCTTGCCAAATCTCATCACCCCTTTCATGGGTGATACCTTAAGAAGAACAGTCTCACCAGTTTGAGATGCCATGTCTTTTACCTTATGGTCTGCATACTTTTTTTGTCTACTCTGGGCCGCTAAAAGCTTAGTTTGGATGCTCCCCACTTTATCTTGAGCATCTTCCACTAAATCAACCCCCAAAGGTTTCACATCCCCAGCCTCAAACCATTCTATGTGTGATCTACATCCTCTCCCATAAAGTTCCTTAAATGGTGCCATATCAATGCTGACGTGATAACTATTATTATAGGAGAACTCACACAAAGGTAAGAATTTATCCCAATGCCCTCCAAAATCAATCACACATGCCCTCAACATGTCTTCTAACACTTGAATAGTCCTCTCTAACTGCCCGTCCGTCTGTTGATGGAAAGCGGTACTAAAAGTGAGTTGTGTGCCCAATT